CCGCCCCCGAGCCCTTACATCCAGGCTCCTCCCACGGGCAGTCCTTCGGACACACCTTTCTCTCCGCCACTCCTCCCATAACAGGACCTTCATCACCGGTATTTCCTCATACAACTTATTCGGCTGCACATTCGCGGCGCGAATCTCTGATCCCATCACCGTGATGAAGAGAAATGAGTTTACTATGCGGTGACTTCAAAGGTCGTCTTTCTGTCATAGTTTCCCTGGGTCATAGAATGGTTGTCGCTCAAACCGGCTTGCTTTCGATTGTCTATCGCGGTTGAGCGTTTGCATTGTATCAACATCAACTCCCTGAATAGTGATGCGCTTTTCATTCTGCAGTTTCGAACGTTCGACTTCGGTATTCTCTCAACTTATCTCGCGGATTATAGAATATTTATGGTGCATTTATTGGCGAAAATTGGGGAAACCGGGGCGGTATATTTGAAAGGCAAAGGAAATCACGGGTGGGTTTCAGAGAGGGCTATTGGATTCCGTTGTATATTTCCTTTGTTTGGTTCTGTTTCCTGTGGAAACTTGGTGTTTGGAATACGTGTCGTTTCTGGGCTGGCCTGATGTTGGTTTCCTTCAGGCTCCTTGTATATGCGAAACGTCAGGAGCAGGTTTCGGTTTCTTATCTCTCCCACTGTTGAGCGTTACGATATGCTTGAAGGACATAATAAGCTGCACACACCAGCAAATACACGATTCATGAATAATAGCCACAAAATTCCGAATTTTTATCATCTTCGATTGACTACGCTCCGAACTGCATGCAAATTCGCAATGCAGAGGCATCTAGATAGATCTCGAGATAGCAAATCTCTCCAGTTGGCGAATGGGATGCGCCTCGACCAACTGCCAAGAACAACCCCTTTTCGCCACGATGGTGGTGGTTGATGAAGATGGTTGAGAACACCACAATATTGGCGGAATATGGATAGGATGCGATCCATTCTAGAGCTTGGAATCAATGCTACAGCGATGATAATGTTGGTGATAAAGTTCCACCGTTGACTTGACCACCACCTAGGTATATAAAGTGATAGTCCGAAGGGTGGACTTTCCTCTGCGTTCTGGGCTCTGCCATCCCCGTGCCCAGATTGCACTCAGGGAAAACTCCCCGTCCTTCTTCGACGGCTCGCTTTTCCTTCTTCCAAACGGCCTGATTCTCTGGCAGCATCGTCACCCACCTTCGATTTCGCTGGACCTTTGGTTTTCTTCTTTTTCTTCGTCTTAGATATACATTTCATAATTACATTTGGCTCCATTCACACTCGTTTGTTGTCTCTCTTGCGGTGTCCTACTGGACCGCACCCTTCCGCCAGACCACCTTTTATCCCCATCTCCACCGAGCCATTCCTCCCTACTTCGCGATTTATCGCATTATCGACTCCTTTCCTCTGGTTCCGGTGCCAGCCAGGCCGACTTGTTGAAAAGTTGCTTCGAATTGTGATTATTCAAGTTCTTGTAAAACAGCTTCGAGGATTTACATCTACCGTGCGGTCGGCTGGTTAACTCCGTTCGACGTTGAGTGTCCACAACACACCTTCCAGGAATCCTTGCCCTTTCCAGACCGTGACGGTTTCCCAGTAATCGAACGGTACCTCGCCAGTCGCAGCGCATTCTCTGGTCATATATTGCAAAGATGCTTCTTCCTAAGGGTGGCGTGACGTGGAAGTCGACCAAAGCTCGACTCCCTCCCTGGAGGGCCGTCGTTGTTCTCCTTACACGGCCACGATTCTTGATATCTTTAGCTCTCACAGGCATTTTGATCTTATTATGGCGTGGAATCAGCAAATCAGCATCTGGAATGCAAAAGTGAGTATCCATTCGCTCGTCATGAAAGAAGTGTGGAGTTGTTCTGACAAGGGGTTGGTGTGATCAGTTTCTACTGCTATGGCCCCCCCAAATCTCCAATGGAAATGTCCATAAACGAGATGAACGCATGGATGGCACATACTCAGACTCCTGTGATTTTTAACCACCATGAGCCCTATGTTGTAAACGACAGCAGTATTATCAATGTCGACCTCAACGGCATTCATTCAACCCGTGCAGCTAAGGAGAACAAGGAGCGGGTGCTGATCCTCACTCCTCTGAGAGATGCCGCGCCCCATCTGGAAAAATACTTCGATCTCCTCTACAACATCACTTACCCCCATGAACTCATTGATCTGGCCTTCCTTGTCGGCGACTCTCAGGATGACACGCTCGCCGTTCTCGCTAGGGAGCTGAACCGAATTCAGGATCAAGTGGAAGACAAAATTGCTTTCCGCAGCGCGACAATCATTCAAAAGGAATTTGGAGCTGATACTGGCATGAATGTTGAGGATCGACACTCCTTTGCGGCTCAGGGCCCCCGGCGCAAGGCTATCGCCCGAGCTCGCAATTACCTACTCTACTCCGCTCTGAAGCCTGATCACTCCTGGGTCTACTGGAGAGACGTGGACATCGTTGACAGCCCTCCAACTATTCTGGAAGATTTTATTTCCCACAATAGGGACATCCTTGTTCCTAGTATGTCGAAACTCTTCTATTCCAGTTGTTTCAGCGCTAACGTATAATCTGTTCCAGACATTTGGTTCCATCGTTACAAGGACGGTCGTGATATTGAGGGTCGCTGTATGTGCATGCCCTTTCCCATGTTTGGAAGCATATTCGCTGACAATCGTTAGTTGACTACAATTCGTGGATCGAATCCGACAAAGGCCGCAGGTTGAGACAGAATTTGGACCCGGACACTATTCTCGCTGAGGGATACAAGGAATATGATACGGGTCGGGAATACCTCGTTGGAATGGGTGACTGGAGGAAGAACAAGGACGAGGAGGTTGAACTTGACGGCATTGGTGGTGTCAACATTCTGGTCAAGGCAGACGTTCACCGTTCAGGTTGGTCCATCTTCTGTCATCATCACATACATCTGAGTTCTAACCGTCCACATTATAGGCATCAACTTCCCGCCCTATGCGTTCGAGAACCAGGCTGAAACGGAGGGGTTCGCCCGTATGGCCAAACGGGCTGGATACGAGGTGTATGGCTTGCCGAACTACATTGTGTGGCACATCGACACCGAAGAGAAGCCCGGCAACCTCGGGGATCGCAAAGCGTACTAAAAATCAACGATATGAGTTAATGGCCTCATCCATGCATTCGGGTTTGCCAAAGTAGACCTGAAAGACCAGCTCTCCAATTTACGCTCAATACCCGTTTGTCCACTGATATCTGACGTAGTTGCCGTCAGGATGATTGCGTGAAGTTCTCAACCATATTCATCATTGCTGGTTACATTCCCAGCTATTCCTTTCTATGCTCTTGTTTTCTTCAGTGACGTTTTGAAACGGATATCTAATGATATCAATAATTTTCAATCTTCTTCATGTTGTGTTCTAGGGATTTCTTTATGTGCTGTTTCCTTGGCGCTTCGGGGACGTTGTTCAGCGGTATTTGGAGGATTATAGAGTTGACTGGTCGACTGATTGATTGACCTCATAGCCGCCTGAGCCTTGTTCTTGATCTTCTGCCATTAGGCAAACGGACATGACGACCCTGACGCTTTTAATCTGGCATTGTCGTCCCTGGAACCTGTTCTTGGTTCGAGAGTCTCGTTCCCACTTGTCTTCTAAGTTGGGATCAGTCAATGACATCGTTCTCAGACCTGTGTCCGTGGAGTATGCAGGGGTCCATTGACTGGATGCCTGGATCATTTCGCAGAGAGACATATTGCCGGGCCAGAACGCGTCCAAGGGCGTTGATGTCAACTTGAGATGGACAGGGAGATGGATCGGGCATCGAGGTCGCAACCCTTCATGTACATACATATATATGTACCTACACAAAGTGAATTTCCGACAAGCATACCAAGTCTTCGGCATCTTTTTAAGCCCATCTGCTCAGTCACAAGAGTTGCTGCTACTTCGCGACATTACCATATTCATCTAACCCATGAAGATTATGACAGTGACCATGTAGTTGCATACTGATTGGCAGTAAACCGCGTTATTAAGAGCAAGCATTGCTAACATCCTCATCTTCTCGTATGATCATCTTTTCGTATCATCTTCGTATCCGGTGCAGGAGTAGAACATTCCCCACATTGTGACACGGTCCCTCTGTGCCCCACGCCGAACCTACCCATCTCGGCTTCGATGCGAATTAGAGTACCGAGGGACAGTCTACTTAAACAAAAGCAGTAAATTCTAAGCCTCCTACCCTTCTCATCCACCTCATCAACACTCATGTTCCATCTAACCAGACTCACCTCCCCCACTTTTCTCAACCGATCATTCACCCGAGCATTCTCGACTACAATCATGGCTTCCACCAAGCATGAGTTCCTCTGCATCCTGCCCGATAAGCCCGATGCTTTGGCTAAAAGGCTGGAGGTGCGCGCGTAAGTCACACTTTCACCTTCCTGGACTCTTTTCTACTAGAGTTTACGAAATGAGGTACTGAGGTGGGTTTGTATAGCTCCCACCTTGAGGGCGTCAAGCCCCTGGTTGCGGATGGGGTGATTACGATGGGAGGTGAGTACCTTGCAAGCGTTTTCCTGCCATGTAAACTGGATGGTTCCTTGTAGAGGAGACGGCTGAATGAGTTTGCAGGGGCTATGCTGGAGTCTCATTCTACCGAGGGCACGCCCTCGTTCAAGGGGAGTGCGATGTTGCTGATGGCCGAGAGCGAGGAGCAGGCGAGGGAGCTGCTGAGCAAGGATATCTATGTTCGGAGTGGGGTGTGGGATTTGGAGAAGGCGCAGATCATTCCGGTACGTGATTAGGTTTCTTGTGACTTGCTTGCTTGCTTGTTGAGGCTAATGGTGGTTCAGTTCAAATCTGCTGTTCGGACGGCACTGTGAGTACTAGAGTTGCGTGGGACACTATGAACAAGTGATGTATTTGTGTGAGATAATAATACATTGATAAGTCTGGCAATCTACCCAAGCGATGAAGCTACTATCTATTTCCAAAAATCTGTTCGCATATACAACATGCATGTGACTACAGCTTTGCCTTGGGCTGGAGCATCGCCTCTGCTACCTTGCGACGCTGGATCTTCCCCGTTGCCGTCTTTGGAATCTGCGTGACTATCCAGACCTGTTGTATGGCGTTAAATCATTGCTCAGAAAGATACGTTGGGCACAAGGGCATTGGAATACCTGCTTCGGGGTCTTAAATTTGGCCAGCTTCCCGGTCACCCATGCCTTGAGATCTGCCTCGGTTGCAGAGCCGGCACTCTTCAACACGACCGCGGCTCCAATATCCTCTCCATAGTGGCCCTCGTCAGGGATAGCGAAACAGACTGCTTCCGCAACCTGGGGATGAGACAACAGCGTGTTGTCAAGCTCAATAGGGCTGATCTTCTCTCCGCCCTTGTTGATGAGCTCCTTGATGCGGCCGGTGATGATAACGTAGCCGTCGCGGTCCTTCTTCCCCTGGTCGCCCGTGCGGAAGAAACCGTCCTTGGTGAAGGACGACTTGTTGGCAGCCGGGTTGTTCAGGTACCCCTTGGTCACGTTGTCACCACGGACGCAAATCTCCCCCTCTCTGCCCTGAGGCACTTCCCGGCCACTGTGATCGAGGATCTTGACCTCTACGCCTTGTCCGATACCGACACTACCCGGTTGGCGTTTTCCGGGCGGGAGAGGGTTACTCGTCATCTGGTGGGCGGCTTCTGTCATGGCGTACGCTTCCAGAACGGGGGCCTTGAAAGTTCTCTCCAGCTCCTCAAAGGTCTTTGGAGAAAGGGGTGACGAGCATGAGCGGATGAAGCGGATCCTGGGGATGGGGTCCGGCAGAGGGGTCTTTAGGAGGATCTGGTGGATTGTAGGCACAGCAGTGTACCAGTTTGCCTGGTGAGTCACGAAATCTTGCCAGAACTCCGAGGCAGAGAACTTGAGAGGTACTATAACAGAGCCTCCTGAAAAGAGAGGGGCGAGGAAGCCGGCCAGCAGCCCATGAACGTGGAATAGAGGCATCACCAAGTACGTTCGGTCCTCGGGAGTTAACTGATATGTATCCCGGATATTCTCTGTGGTCGATCAGTGAAAATTAGACCATGTCAGACTGTGTTGTTCACTTACTCATGGTTGTGGCAAGGTTCTTATGGGTTAATGGGACCTGTTCCCATATTACGATCAGTATGATGGTCTTCGTGCAGGGGTAAAAGGGCCATACAGCTTTGGGTCTACCAGTTGTCCCACTGGTGTGCAAAACCAGCGCAATATCATCAGGCTGTGCTTCGAGAATACCAATGCTGCCCTTTCCTGCCAGTTTGCCCAGTTCCTTGACGTCCAGTACAACCTCCTTCCCATCCCAGTAACACTCCGCGATAGCAGCATTGTATTTCCTACCCGCCCGCACAGCAGGACCACCTTGGGCAAAAGAGCCCCGTGGAATCAACACCAGGCTCGAGCTGAGATCATCAATATAGAATTCAAACTCATCCTGCTTGTATGCCGGGTTGAGAGGAGCTGCGATAGCTCGCTGCCACGATGTAGCCAAGAAAGAGACTATGAATTCAAAGGAATTAACGAGAGCCAGTGATACTGCAGCTCCATGGCCGACCCCCAGTCCAGCAAGCTTGGCTTGAAAATTGGCGACATGGGTATGAAGCTGTTGGTAGGAGACCGACAAGGCCGACGGCTTATGAGGGACTATCACTGCAACACTCGGACTGTCGGGCGAGAGGGACCGAGTTAGAGTGGCCATCGTTCTTATAGTGTGTCTTGGCCGTCAGGGGTTATTTACAGTGATGGAAAAGATAGATATCCAAGATAGATTATACAGATTGAACGTGGGGATTCCGCGGATACCACTCACGTATCTTACGCATTTGACGTAGATGTGCCATTATTATTATATCCATGAAGGACAAGCCCATGGGTCCTCGGACTTAGTTGCGAAGGATCGGATCAACCGTCAATCGTCGTAGGCCCCATTATTTTCTCGCTCTTCCTTCCCTGTTCTTTTTCTCCTTCCGAGCGGGTGGCACCGGGTGGCTTATGTAAGGTTGAGTCAAACATATCAAACAGTGCAAGTCGAGCAAACATCGTTATGCATGGGACTACTCCGCATCTCCAACTCTTCAATGATCCTCCTCTCAGGGACAATATTATAGACCTTGTTCTCCGTCTTCTGTATTGAACTATCACTGTTCTTCGCCTACGTCTTAACCTCTTTATCCATGGCCTCGGATTCTACCCCTTCGAAAGGGGGAGGCCTGTCTCTCTATGCCAATCTCCTCGACCCATCATCCAATGCATCCTCTCCCGCAACAATTTCTCGCGCCCCGGTCGTCTTCAAGCAGGCTTCGGAAGGCGACTCACAGACAGATGATTCAGCTGCCAAGAAGCAGCTATTAAGTGCTGGTAGAGCTCATACCCTTTTTTCGTGATCGAGAAATTCTCTTCATGTATCCCATTTTGACGATCTGATTGCTCACTTGGCCTTCTTCCTCTCTTCTCGGGTATTCAGCTTCTCTTCGATTTCAGCCTACGAAAAGACCACAGCTAGCGGCTCAGAAGCCTAAGCCGAAACCAGCGCTGCCCAAGACGACTCCTGCCGCTGCGTCTGCGCCGGCTCCTCCCGTGAAGACCACCCTTGCGGACTGGGCAGCAACCGAGGAAGACGATGTCAATGGATTCTACGTTGGCGAGAAGAGACAGCGCGGCGGGCGCAAAAAGCGCAAGAAGAACCGGGAAGCGCAGGCGTTCGTCCAAAATTGGGACGACATCTACGACCCTTCAAGACCGAATATCTACGAAGAGTATAAGCACAGTGATGAGCAGATTGCCGAGGTGCGCGAGTGGAAAGATCGCCTCTACGCCCACCGGATGGCACGATCGCCGAGCAGGAACTCTTATAGTGACGATGAATCCAGACCAATGAGCAGTATGCTTCCCTTTGCATGGGATTGCGAATGTTTCAAATGCTTACGAACTTTTGCAGGACAATTTGCGCCTCCAAAGAGTTTCGCGCCTCCGCCTAATCTCAACGATATCCCTCCTGCACCGCTTGATGAAGCCACAGGAGACGATGCTGTTGCTCGACGCGCGCGCATGACGGCAGGTCAATCGGATACATTAATGTCTGGTCAGACGCCGCCTCCACCTCCGCCTCCCCCAGAAGAGCCACCTGCTCCAATTCCGGATGATCCCACCGGTGAAGATGCCTACCTGAGACGGGTGCAAATGGCGGCTGCAGCTCAGCCTACGCCGCACGCGCCTCCTCCGCCTCCGCCTCGACCTTTGGATGCGCTGCAGCCAGCTTCTGCAACAATCTCTCGTGCGCCGGTCCGATATACCTTGCCTCCACCTCCGGAAGATATTCCCGCCACAGAAGCGGAGCTTGAAGAAGTCTTTGCGAAGGAAGAGCCTGCGGAGGATGCACTCGACGAAGAAGATGGCCAGCGCTCACTCCGACCGGGACAAAAGGGATTCGCTGAGAGATTGCTGGCGAAGTATGGGTGGACCAAGGGGTCTGGCCTGGGTGCCACGGGGTCGGGTATCGTCAAACCGTTGCAGGTCAAAGTCGAGAAGCAAAAGAAGCGGCCAGACTCGGAAGGCGGTGGTTTTGTTACTCCTGCTGGCAGGGGCAAAATCATTGGTGGTAAGAGAAAAGCAGAGGAAGAGGAGGGCAAGTTCGGCCGTATGAGCGAAGTCATCATCCTCAAGGGTATGCTTGATGGGATGGATGTGGACGCTGAGCTCGAGGGTGATCAAGATGGAGGGTTGATGCAAGAGATTGGCGAGGAATGCTCAGAAAAGGTACGCTTCGTTATGTATGACTGGGTTGCTACCATCTAACATTAAAACAGTACGGTCGTGTGGAGCGTGTCTTCATTTCCCGTGAATCTGGTCCCCCAGTGCCGGTCTTTGTCAAGTTTACTAACCAGTTATCGGCTTTACGCGTGAGTGTTCAAGAATTCAGGAGCCTTCCAATCTGGGCACTAACAAAATCTATCAGGCGGTGAATGCCCTGGAAGGCCGGGTGTTCAACGGCAACACAATCACAGCCCGTTTCTATGACACTCAGAAATTCGAAGAAGGGATATATGACGACCGGTAGCAAGCATAGGAGCCAGGAACATGTACAGCACATCCGCGGGTTTCGTTGCTAGTCAGTCGATGATATGACTCTGGTCTGCCGTGAGACCATGATATCTGCTGCTGCAATAATGTCTGGCAGATGAACAGTATGAAACTATGCAGATCAGAGTATCGCGCTTCAATGTTTTGACTCCATCCATGTTGCTGGGGACTTTCGAGTCTTTAAGATAGCAACCTTGCGCTTCATCAACTTCCTGGCAGGCTTCGTTGTCTGCCAGCTTTTGAATATCAAGCGATCCAGGTTTTGATGCTCCGAGCCTCAGTTGAAGGAGTTGTCGACGGTGCACCACTGGCCGGCTCATGTCACTACGAAATTCAATATCTCGTTCGTGTAGCAGTCATAGCCGAATCTGAATGCTTGTAAGCAGGATATGTGAAAGCAGTAGATGGGCTTGGTATGGGGCAAAAGGGCATGGAGAGTGACGTGTTTTTGAATCCTAACAAAGGGACATATCAAGCACTCAATGCTAGTGTCGCCCTACTAAGGGCCTGAGGCAAGGCTTGATCCTTGGACATGGCTAAGATAGGATTCACCTTGCTGTTCTTTGTGTTGATTATTCTGAGTGTCTAAAGACAGAACAGCTTGACTGATCATACTGATCACTAGACAAGAAATATCCTAATTACCTTACTCTAATCACATAACCTGTGGACAAACATGTACCTTCACGCTTCCATCTCCTTCTGCACGGTGGCCACTGGAAACTACAGAGGTCACATGATCATGACTGTGAGATTTATCAGTGGAGACCCGATTGGCTGTGGGGTATCAAATCCATTAAGCAACACTGGAAAAGCCTCATCTGGTGGCCATTCACTTTGAGCCTCTTAGCCTGTGACTCTATCTCCTTCCTCTCACTTCCTCCTTTCTTACCTGTCTCCATTCTCCCTCTCTTATATCCTCCGCGGCGAACCCTTCTTGGTCATATTCTCCAAGAACTCGCCATCATCGCGCTTCGACCTAACGCAAGCCTCATCCTACTACCAATTCACATCGCCGACTCACCATGTCCCTGTGTTTAAACCGCCTTACAGAAGAACGGTATGTCCACCAGCCCAGGTCACCTTCGCGCCGCGCAAACACACCCACGACTTCGCATCCGACAGCAACACTGAAACTAACAACCCCACGCTCAGGAAGCAATGGCGACGAGACCACCCGTTCGGCTTCTACGCAAAGCCTCATCGGACACCTCAGGGCGTGCTGGACCTGAAGCGCTGGGAATGCGGTATCCCGGGGAAGGCGAATACACTGTGGGAAGGAGGACTGTTCAAGCTTGACGTCGTCTTTCCAGATGGTAAGCCTGCCTGTGCTCGTGCTCGCTCGGTCCTTGTATAGCAAGCGAATGTGCTGACCGTCTCTCTTTACCGGAATAGAATATCCGACGAAGCCGCCAAAATGTACGTATCTCCTTCCGACTACTGGCATCATATATCGATATACATTGCTACCTCTTCCCGCATCCGTATCCGAGACCGCTAAACTGACGTCGCAAACGATACAGGCAAATTCGTCCCCCCACTCTTCCACCCCAACGTCTACCCCTCCGGCACCGTCTGCCTCTCAATCCTCAACGAAGAAGAAGCCTGGAAGCCCGCCATCACAATCAAGCAGATCCTCCTGGGAATCCAAGACTTACTCGACGACCCGAACCCAGAGTCCCCCGCGCAGGCTGAAGCATACAACTTATTCAAGAAGGACCGGCCGGCTTACGAGCGGCGCGTGCGCCAGGTCGTCAAGGAGAATCCTGCTCTCTAGAAGTCTGAGATTTGTTATGCGGATGACACGATGAATCTTCCAAAATCTCGTATTCTCCTTCGGTCTAATCAATGCTCTTGATTTACGGTACGGCGCCCATCGCATCGCGGCTGGCGGTTGACGCTCATTTTCATGTGATCTAGTCGCATCTGCTTGTTCCAGTGTCTCGGTTTTCTCTTAGCGTGGCGTTCTCAATTGATAAAAGCGAACGGCTCCAAATGGATGTTGCTCTCTTCTTCTGTCCACTTTTTTCACTACCTAGTCGCGATTTCATCTGTGATTTGTAACGCACATAGACAGTCTCTGAATGCCCAACCTGTCGTCTTCTATGATACCATTTGTAGCTTCGCAGGAAAACAAACTCCGACGCATGCGTATCCTGGCGATATGTGCATGCGTGTTCCGATCTGATGCACATACACGAGCTTGTGCTATGCCCGCGACTTGTTTGTACCTACTGCGGACAATTTTACCCAGATCTTACAAAGCCCGCATGATGTCAGGTACATAGCCGCGATCTAATGAGGGTGGATTGCTCAAGAGGCACATATTCCACACCATCTCGCCAGTAGATTCAGTTTTGAACGTTTGTAAGGTTGCTCAAATGAAATTCGATTATTATCATAAAAACAGTCAAAGCACTGCAATCAAAAAAACCATGGCTTATTAGACAGCTCTACCCACCCCCGGAAGGAGTTTTGGAAAACAAACAAATCCACATGCAATTTCCTGGTATCGGCGATCCTTTACAAAACGTACTGCACCAGAGCTCCAAAAACGGCGGCGAATCCGAGAGCGGGGAGGTTAGCAGCGTTGAGATCAGCAGCGCTAGACTTGGAAGCGGAAGCAGAGCTGCCGCTGCTAGTGGTGGTGGTGCCAGAAGATCCATCCTTGGTAGTAGGGTTAGGCTCGGTAGCCTTGCACTTGTAGGCACCGCGAATGATCTTGTCGTTATGGGCCTTGTCAAAGCTGTCGCAGCTGAAGTTGCCGGTGCTCTGCAAGTTGAACTGGCCCTTGACGTTCTCGAGCTTGGGCATGCTCACTCTGCGATTTGATTAGCATGTTGTGCGATATTTCGGCCGGCAGGAAAAGGTCACTTACTTGTCGAACTTGCCGCTGAAGTCAACGGCACCAGTAACAACCTGCAGGGAGGGCAGATCAATGCTGCTGAGCTCATCGTTGCGGGTAATCAGGAAACCACCGTTGACAGTCTCGAGAGCTGGCATGCTGATGTTGGTGAGCTTGGTGTTGGCGTTGAAAACAAGGTCGCCAGTCTCGGTGAGGTTGGGAGCACTGAAAGACGTGAAGGAGTCGCCCCAGAAGCCAAGCTGACCAGTCAGGTTGTGGAGAGAGGGGATGGAGACAGCGCTGACGTTGCGGAAGGTCATGTTGGTACCACTGGAGAGGTTGGGCAGCTCCACTTCAAGGGAGTTCAGGTTACCAGCAAAGTTGATCAGGCCAGTTGCGTTCTTCAGGTTGTTGATGTTGATGGACTTGAGCTGCGTGTTCTCGGTGATGTCGAACTTGCCAACGGTGTTCAGGGAGATACCGTTCAGGTTAGTCAGACCGGTGTTGGTGATCGAGACATCACCGGCTTCATTGACACCCTTGGTGAAATCAAGATTCTGAAGCTGTGGCAGAGCAGTCCACTGGATCGATCCGACACTGGTAAGAGAGGGGAAGCTGAGGGTGGTCAGAGTGGTAAGGCCATCCAGCTTGAAAGTGTCGGCGATGGAGTTCAGCATAGGCGCCGCGATGGAAGAGATGTTGGCGCCACCGGTGCAGCTGAGGGTGCCGTCAATCTGCTTCACGCTGTTGAAGGTAATAGCGCCCGAGAGGTGCTCGTCGATCTCAATAGTACCCTTGATGGTCGAGCAGGAGGAGTAGCCGTCGGCATCGCTCTGGCTGGAAATCTTGATGGTCTCATCGGTCTTACCGCAGTCTGTGCCAACAATCAGCTCCCACCCTCGCAATTCCAGATTCGTTGGAGTCGGGGGTGATGGTTCACTCACCGGCAGCAAGGACGGCCTGGGCTGCAGCCAGGGCAGGAAGAGCGTACTTGAGGAAAGCCATTGCTAAAGGTTGTTTATACTAAATTTCAAAACAAAGTCAATAATGTCATTAGCAGGCTTTGCAGGCTTCGCAGGCTAGCATCAGGCAAGGGTCCCACGACAATCCATCTTCACGAGCAGGAAAAGACCACTCTGGAAATGTAATGAGAGAGAAGATGAGAGGGGGGGAGAGGGCGGGAGAGATAGAGACGGAGTTGATGAGACTTACCAATGTTCGATGAGGTAGAGATGTAGAGCGGGCGATGCTCAGCCCTTGAGATGTTAATATGGGCGAATGGCAGTAGCTGCAAGAGTTTGGCAGACAAAAATAGATGAACGAGCGAAAGAAGGCGAGAAAGTCAAAACGAAGGAGAAGCTGTAAGCGGTGATTTCTTCAACGAAAGTGGACTAATTCGGCAAGGCAAGTACGTTGGACGAAGAAGAATGAAGGGAAAGAAGGAGAAGAAAAGAGAACAAAAGACTGGATGGAATTGATTGGAAAGGAACCTTCAAAAGACAAGGCAGTGGAAAGGAAAGTGCCTTTAGGGAGGACAAGACAAGAAAGGAGGCGTGGCCCCAGCACCGGGTCCGGTAAACTTGATTCACATTCTCCTTGTAACACAATTACTAGCTCCCCCCGAAACGACAATCGGGATGGACACAATTTTTTCTTAGGTCCTTCTCTTTCCCCACTGTCCTCGGTAATGAATTCAGCGACTACTACACTGGACAATACACAAGGTGCGTCACAAGCCAGATTTGTGCTCCAGGAATCCTGATTCTTAGGCTCGGTAATGAGCCCGTTGCTTCTAGTTGGCTCCATTCTGTAACACTGTCACCAATAATTGTGCTGCAATGCTACCAGTGATTCGCCCCGTGGCTCCATTCTGGCTCCATTCTGGCTCCCGTCATTTTTGACCATTCAAAGCGCACCATTCCCCTTTGTTTATTGTGACCACGGTGGTTGAGATACGTAATCTTGGACGTTGGTACCTTGGGTACAGAGTAGTACGTTCCTGGCCGCAATACAGTTTGGCAATCGCCAGAATTTGTATCCATTGATTGTTGAAACTCTTTCTCCAGGAATAGAGGCACTTGATGATGTATTATAAAGGTTGTTATCTCCTTTGCAGCAGTAGTACAGCATACGAACCTAATTACATGAATTACTGTTGGCCATAAGCTGTCATCTAGGAAAAAGATTTGTTTTTGAAGTACTACTTCATGAACCAGTGAGCAACTGGTGCAATCCATACATTGATACAACATTTTCTGAAATACACCAGTATTGATAGGTAATATTCTATAGATTGTTGTCCGTGGCCAGACTCCTCAAGACAAATCCAAATGCAACACCATAAACAAATAACAGCCACATCCAATCATTTATAATTCATGATCTGTAAACACAAATTCCTTTTGCTATGAAGAGCACTAACAATATCTACAATTTGGTTCAGTTCGTCCAGGTCTAGCAGACCGTCGATGGAAGCAGCTATAGTTAATCAATATGTGTAAGGCATTTAGAATGTTATTGTTTCAGAAACTGGACTCCTTAGTAAGGAGCAAGCCCTGTCTGTCATGGAGAGGTCGGCAGCAAGACGAAAGTAAATAATATCTGAAATTCTCAAATCAATGGATCCGCTCTCCTGGCATGAGTGTTATCACCTGGGCTATGGATTTTGGAATGTGAGAATATCGAAAGCCTCAAGGAGGTTGGGATTCAGAAATCTGTTGTGCCGTTTGCAAGCTACATTGATTTATTGTCATTCCTTGCCACTTTCTGCCATGCAAATGATCCCTAAGGTATTGAACGTTAAAAATAGGGTACCATACTATATTTCTCGGATATCTACTCCATAATATCGCAGTGTCTTTCTGCTATGTAGATAGATTGACTGTCTATGATTCCCTATTTCCACGATCGTCCAGCCACGCTACAGATATTCCTGTTTAACTATGTTTTCATCATCATTATGCCACTAGGTCAGGCACAAGGCAAAATAGGCAAAGTGCGATTCCACTAGGCGAGTCAGACACCAATTGAGACGACCAGGCTAAAACTAATTAAGTGGTTAAGTGGCGAATATGCGTGCGGCCCGATATTGCTTGTTCCTTTCTTTGGCAAGCTCTGCGTGTGTAGCTAACTGTATACACAATTCTTCCAATACGATGCACACGTTGGCAGAGTCCAGAAATAATGAAGGTCCTAATACAAAGTACTCAATTACTCAATAAATAATGGCATTCTTATCTTGCGGTTATCCCAACCTAAGTACGGAGTAGGTAGGATCGTAGATAACAAATAATAATGAAATAGTTCTGTAACTTACCAGTACCATCGAAGAGACTTCATCTTGGTTAGACCCACTTAGTAGGTTAGCGGATCCATGAAACAATCCTGCAATAGTGAGCTATGCCTTCATGGAAAATTTATGGAGCTAAAAATATACAACATGATAGGGATGGCTCAGTCAATCTATCTCAAATTCTAGACTCTCCTCTAGATTCTTCAGGTACTGTACATTTGTCAGTGATGGCTTGCCTGTCAAGTAAAGTATGGCTGTGCAGAAAGGCTTGATGAGCATGGCACTAAGTAACCATAATCAGTTATCTAGTCATTGTTTGAATACTTTGACAGATCATGATCATAGAACAAGGAACCACCCAATTATATGACAGAAGTTTATCAACACCAGCTCTTCCAGTTGACAGCTCGCTTCATCTGGCCATTGTATGTTTGAGGGACTAATGATTCATAATCATTGATAATTATGTCTCGGTCCATTGAGAGTTCTTCTCCCGTCCACACTGTTTAGTTGTTATTAGGAGTCGAAGAACTCCACTGATATCCGTAGCTACTTGCATATCACAATAACGGATAAGCTCTTGGTCAGAACTTAGATGATGACCCGCTTGAAAATTGCAACCAGCCCTCGTTCTAGTAAT